GTTCATAAAGGATGAGGTATCCAAACTTCTAAAAATAGGTTCCGTCCAGGAGGTTAAATACCCGGATTTGTTAGCTAACATAGTGGTAGTGCCTGAAAAGGAAATAAACAAAGGATGTGCGTAGATTATAAGGATCTAAACAAAGAATGCCCAAAGGATTCTTTCCATTTTTCTAACATCGATCGAATGATCGACGAAACGGCCAGGCACGAGATACTAAATTTTCTCGACGCCTACTTCAGGTACAACCAAATTAGGATGGACCCGGACGACCAAGAAAAAACTTCTTTCATAACAAAGTTTGGCACCAACTACTATAACGTAATGCCATTCGGATTAAAGAATGTTGGTGGCACTTACCAATACCTAGTAAACCGGATATTCGAAGAATAAATTGACAATCAATGGAAGTTTATATTGAAGATATGTTGGTCAAGTACCTACGAGCAGAGGACCATTTGAAACATTTTTAGAAAACCTTCGACATACTAAGGAAGTACAACATGAAGCTAAACCGGGAAAAGTGTGCATTTGGGGTTAGTTCGGGCAAATTTCTCGGGTTCATGGTATCTAATCGAGGGATAGAGATCAACCCCGACAAAATAAAGTCCATAGAGGACATCACCATGTCGACAACATCAAGGCAGTTCAAAGATTGACCAGGCAATAGCCGCATTGGGTCGGTTCATCTCGAGATCCTCGAATAATATCCGCGTTGGGCCGGTTCTCCTCAGATAAGGACATGTACAGGGTTCCTCGGTTATCTCCACATCAGCCTTATATTGGGCCTGTATTTCCTCGACTTTGAAGGAATCAATCAGAGTTGCCTCCAATTTGGACTTCAGCGCAGTATATTCCTGGCCAAGGGCATCCCGTTCTCTGACAGCTGAATCCAGTTGTGCTCGGAGTTTATTGTTTAGTCATGACCACTTGTCAGCCTTGTCTTTTTCCACCCCGAGCTGGTCCTTGACCGATGCCAGCTCTTCTTTTGTGGCCTATTTTTCTGAAGCCAACAAGTCCATCCTACCCCTCAGCGCCTCGGTTATGGTCTTGACCTCGTCCATCTCGGCCCGAAGCTGGTCAATGAAGTCTATTTTCACTTGGACCTACGAAGTTGCGTCGTTAGTCATTACGAGTTGCTTCTCGTTTTTAGCCACAAAGATCCTTACCCTCTCGACCAGATCGGCATGCTCCCATTTCACATACGAGGCCTTCTTTTGTGCCTTTTTCATCTCTGCTCTGAGAACTGAGAGGTCATTGAGGGCCTCGTCTTGTTGTTCGCTAAGAGCCCTATACATGTCCTTCTTCTGGACCTGCTCTTTGATCTCGAACTCTAGCTAGCTGATTTCCATTCAAGACCGAATGGAGCTTTCATGATAGAGAACCAAAGCCTGAAAAATAATAAGGTCGTTAGAACATGCTAAAACTAAGCAAAATTTGCAAAGCATACGAGGGATAGGAACCTTACCCATTTCAATGCATGTTGCACCTCGTTGAAGAGGCTCGATGTGCCTACTTCGTTCATCTTCGCCAAGTCCTCCTCGGTCACCAGGCATCGAAGATAGCTGGCCACACCCACTGGGGCGTACAATGCCCGAGCATCTACCGGGATAGTAAGAACAACCGTTCTTTTATGATCGAGATCCATACTCGGGGTAGGGAACTGTGATGTGATTCTTCGAGTCCACAAAAAACCAACCTATTAGGATCAAGATCTTGAAATGAAAGTGATTTGTGGGTTGATTTCAAGAAACAACATATCTCAAGTTTTAGGACTCGGAATCTGATGATTTAAAAACGAGGTGAAAGATGACAATCTAAGTAATAAGAAAGACTATTTACTCATTCAAAACAAGTAAATATTGATGCTGCATCAATTCAATAAAAGTTATGATTCTAAGAAATCAAAAGAATTAATTTAAATCAAGAAACTTGTTCTTGAATGATCATGAACTAAAAAGTTCCTAAAGTCACAACTTGGAATCAATTAACGTGATAAAGAAACACCACGCGCAACTGAAAACAAGATAAAGACTATCACCACCTTGCTTGTAACCAAAAACAAGGATAAAGAAGACACGATAAAGAAAAACGTGAATCTCCCTTCTACAAGGCATGAGAACTTCTTTGTCGGCTTGAGCATCTTCGAGCATGGACTCTATGTGGGACAGCATCTTCGCGATATCGATGACACCAGCTACTTCCTTTGGGACAGGAGCGCCTTCTCGGGAGTCCGTGGCCTCCGATTCTTCTTTTGGTTCCCGAATTATAGGGGGATCAACCTCTTGGCCACCTTCTCCAGTTGTCGTCTGCTATCTCTCGTCGATGGTATACCCGTGAGCAATGAACTCAAGATCATCGTCCTCAGGGTAATCTCTGAGCCGGAAGAAGGAGTAGGGGTCCGGTACCCTGTCTTTGATGTTCTTCTTGTTGCTTTTCCGGACTCGGACAGCAACCCTCTTCTTCTTCACCTCGGCATCCGGGGAGCCAGAGAATTTCCTCTTTTTCTTCTTTTTCTCCTCCATTGCGGCATCTTCGGGCTATCCCGAAGAGGAGATTTCAGCAAGCGTAGATGGGGCCTCATCCTTATCCAATGGTCGAAGCTCAGTGGTCTTGGGAAAATATGTGAAAAGGAAAAAGACTTAGCATAAATAAAAGTATGTATATGCAATTATTCGGGCAGAAGGCTCACCATGGGAACAGGCATCCCACTTGCCCTTCGAGAGCTTGCACCATTCGCGCTCGAAGTAAGACATTTGTTTGCAAATCCCCTTGATCCAATCCTTGAAGGGGGGAATGCATTGGTAACTTAGGCGATCGTTGCACAACGGTAGACACATGTAATTAGAAAAAGAACAAAAGGAAATAGCAGGCACTCGAAAAGGAGAAGACTTACAGGATGAGTTCCACTTTTCAGGGAACGGTAGAAATTCAAGGGGAATGAGGTCTTCGATTTTCACCCGAACGAACCTCCACTGCCAACCTCAATCGCGATCTTCACTGATGCTTGAGAATGGAGTTTTACTTGCTCGACGAATGAGCTTGATCATCCCCCCTCAGAAGACTCGGGGACTATAGAGATGAAGCAAGAGGTCGAGGGTGAACCGAGGTGCTTCAGTATTTTTTACGAAGTGACGGAGGAGGATTACGATCCTCCAAAAGGACGGGTGAATCTACTCAAGGCAAATCACGTACCTTTTGCAGAAGTCGAGGATTAGAGGGTCCATCGGGGTGAGCGTGAAGGAGTAAGTATAAACACTTAGATACCCCTCCACATGAGTGGTGATATCTTCAATGGGCTCGGGAACGGCCACCTCCTTGCCCTTACAGTTGCAGTCCACTTGAACTGTGGGGAGTGTGTCCTCGGTAACGGAGCATATGTACCTCCATACTCCTTTGCCTCGGTCCTGTTGACTGGATGCCTTCTCGACTTTAAAGTCATTTTCAATGGAGCAGCCATCGGGAATGAAACTCTTCAAGGGAGGCTCCATGACCACCTCAGGAATGGTCGCCTCGACATCCGTGGCCGGGTTGGAAATCAGGCAGTTTGCTGAGGTACAGATTTGGAAGTTTTTGCCATCAGATTCCGGAAAATATGAAGGTTTGAAGAAAAATATAAAGATTTAAAGATGAGGATGAAGATTTGAAGATGGAGATGAAGGTATGAAGGTATGGTTTGAAGATTTAAAGAAGAAGTATATGGATTTGGATATGAAGATATGAAGATCTAAGAAGCAATGTATGAAGATTTGAAGAAGTTAGAGTTAAGTGGAGAATTCAAGGGTAAATCAAAGAGCTCTGGAATTGAAAAGTGAAGAAGTGAAGGGTCGGAGCTTTTAAAGAAGAAGGAAAATCAATGCGTGACATTTCGCATTCAAGGACAGTCAATCGGCGGCTAACACGTGTTCGGATTCAGAACAGCGCGACTGATGAGACGTTTCGTTGACCCATCAACTCGGTTGTAACGTACGAAGGAAGGAACCGGGGTTAATTTATCGCTTTCCGTCGCTTCGATAAATCTATTTTTCGGAAAACGAGGGAACTATTTGTATACATGTAAAATCGGGGGTAAAGTTTTCCTCGATTCTCCGGTAAGAGAACGAAGGGGAAGCACGGATCGACATGATCATAATCGGGGTCATGAACCCCTCATATCAAGACTCAGAAAAAATGAATGATGTATCTGAGGTTGGGCACGGTAAAGAGACATACCCCAGACCAAGCATGGCTTCTGGACCTCGGGAGATGCGGTGATCAGTTACGCATGACAGATAGGGGGCCATATTATTCGCCGTCAACCAGACATTACGGCGTGAATCCTGTTCAGTATTAATTGTAGATCAACAATTACCGAGAAAAGAAGATTTTTACCTTTTTTAGACTTGTACTAAGATTGAAATTCTCCTGCTATATAAGGGGGAGTTTTTCTTTGATCGGACACATTGTAACACGCAATTCAAACCAATAAAAGTTTACTTCTGTCTTCTAGCTACTGTTCAAGGCATCACTTGATCTTTTCTTTACTCGCGACCGAGCTTGTACTGAGGGCCCAATCGAGGACGAGTCCCACTGTTCAATCTAAGATCAGGCTTGGTCATTACATCGCAATTGGTTTGATCGTTATTTTGTCTTTAATTCATCTATTTGTTATTCTTAACTATTCGTATTGAATTAAACCACATATCCTTTAAACCGCGTACAAATTTAATTATTACTCATTTTTGGGGTAAACAAAATTAATTCACATCCGATTTTACTTTAACAAATTGATGAAATTCAAACACGGATGATTGACAAATATCAAACAAATTAGACCAAGGGTGAAAACTTACTCAGATCAGTGTTTACACTCAATCAAATAAATTTATTAACATAAGATTAAATAGAAATTAAGATAAAAATATACTACTATACTAATTACTAAATGTGTAACATGGAAATAGTTTTTTTTTTTTCCTTAAAACGAAGGCAGTATTTATTTGCTCGATTCGAAACAAAATTAAATGAGGCTTCTCTTCTTTTTTATCTTGGTGCACATGCACTAAACGCTCGCCAACTGCTCAGACCCCATCTCTCTCGATCTGAAAAAGGAAAGAAAAAACAAAATCCAGGAGAATGATCCAAGTGCTATTCAGTGTGATATTCGCCGAAATGGCGTTAATCGTGTTGTTCGTATTCAAGACGCCGTTGAGGAAGGTGGTAATAATGGGCCTGGATCGTATTAAGAGAGGCCGCGGCCCAATTGTCGTCAAAACCATCGGCGGAACCATCTTCATGGTCATGCTGTCAACCATCTACAGTGTGGTGTCGATCCGCAAACGCTGGATCGATGAAGATGGCAATATTACCCCTACTGATCAGATTCTTATGGCTCAACATCTTCTAGAAGCTTCTCTCATGGGTAATTTCTCAATCTGTTTCTATGGATTTGAGTGATTTAGCAATTGATATACGATCTTATAAATTTTGTTGCTAAAATTAAAGAATGTGTACTACGTGCACAACTAGTTGTAATTTATTGTATATAGATGTATGCATATCATATAGTTGTGTTTATGCATGTGTGTCTCCTGCCGTTTTCTCAGTGGTAGAGGAAGAGGCTGTGGCGGAGCTAGGATTTTCACCAAGAAAGGTCAAAATATAAAGAAGTCATGTATATGTACATAAAAAAGAATTACCTAGCTGCGCAATGTAATTTTTCGATGAAGGGGTCACATCCCTTGAATATATGTGGCTCCGCCACCAATAAGGGGTTCAAATGAATCCTCTTAGCCACAAAATTATATTGGGTATATAGGTGAATAAAATCTTTATGTATATATATCAACTGTTTAATCCCTAGACATTGTACCGTGTATATAGGTGAAAAAATCTTTATGTGTATGTCGACTTGTAGAATCCCTACAAACAAAATAGCCTTTTTTTCAAATTTCCTCGGTAAAATTTCTGCCTTTGCCACTAACATGTATATGGTTTTGGCTTTCAATAACACCAATAGCTTGTGTTCTTTTATTAACTGCAAACTGATGCTTTTTTTTTTCTCTCTAAGTTTTTTTTTGGATTCGATCCTTCAATAAATTGAATAATTAGTTATATCTTATGTTAGTAGTGAAATTTGATAAACATCAATGACTGACTTGGAACTAAAGTTTTTACATGGTTTCACTTACAAAGAATCGTTTATTGATGACAGAGGGAATAGCTTTTGTTTCATTTGGATGTTACAGACTGAGTTTTACTCTCAAAAGATCTTAGATATAAGTTCGATTTAAAACCAAATTTGAGAAAGAATCTCTTTTTTGTTATTTTCCTTCCCTTGTACAAGCAATTCTCCTGGCTTTCTTGCAACCCCTCCAATCAATAAGTGTAGATGCTTGGATGGAATTTTTGTCTATAGTCTATAACATGTGTTTAAGTTCTCAAACTACAGTTCTTTTTGCACCACGGGGCTTATTTAATTTTCTAAAATTATTCTCTTATGTTACATGAAGTGATACATTGGATATCTGTCCTTAAACATAAAGGTATTAGAAGAACTATAAATAAAGCATATAAACCAGAAAGATCTCTTTAGGGCTTGCAATGAACTTGATGTGCTTTCTGCTTGATGTTATCTATGCATATTAATTTGAGAAATAAACCAGAAAGTTGTTAATTAAAGAATTTGTTTACTTTTAAAGGGGTTAATGCTTCCATTGATGAGCATGTCTCTCTTATCAAAGGGGTTATAAGTTTGTTGCCTTTTCTCTCTTCATTCTTCTTATCCCCACTAACGGCTTTCTTCCGAGTCTGAGTCTCACATGGGAGTTTTGTACAGGTTTTTCCCTATTCCTTGCTCTGATGGTTGACAGACTGCACCACTATATAAGAGAACTTCGTATGAGGAGAAAGAGCATGGAAGCTGTGAATAAGCAAAACAGAGGCTTTGAGGATGGGAAGAACGGAGCTTCTGACGATATGAAGTCTTTGGAGGAAGAGGCTAGTGCATTGCGTTTAAAAATAAAGAAGTTGGAGTTATGTCTGGAGGAAAAGGCTAGAGAAACAAGCGATGCAGAAGCCAATTCAGTTGCTCTTAAAAAGCAATCAGAAAACTTTCGTCTTGAAAATGATTACTTACTTGAGGATAACCAGAATCTCCGCGCTCAATTGCAAGCACTGGATCAGAGATTGTCATCTGATAGCAAAAAGGATTGATAAGGAATCTCGTCTCACATGTCGTCCCTACTCATCATTGTGAAGTTGTCTATTATGATTTTCTTTCAATAGCTTAGAATTATTCGTGCTCAAAATCCATATTTTTGTTATAGGAAATTATGAGTTACCATAAATTTTTGTTATTTCACTCCGGACTAGGCTCTATGGAGGTCTTCAAATATTTGTCCTAAAAAGCTGCATTGACGGATGGAGTCTTTCCTCATTTAGTTTACTAAGCCTTCTGAAAGTACAACTTGTCTATATCTGCTGTTCTTGCCAAATTCATCTGTCAAGACGGCTTTCTAAAAAGTACTTTGTAGTTTCAATTTTGATATCCTAATACTGTCTTGAAGTGCAATTGATTTTCAAGGAAATTTTGCGCATTCGAGGTGCACTTCTTTTTATCTTCTAGCTTTTCACTTTCTTCTGATAATGAACGTTTTATTTTTTTTCTCTTCACCTAGAAGCATGTCACATGAACTTAACTGTCAGAAAATTAATTACCATGCCTTGGTGACGTTAGTGAACTTCATTTATCTTGTCTTAAAAACAAGAGAAAAAAGGGCTTAACGTGGCCGGAAGTTGAGTGAACTCAATCCTAATACAGCAGAAGGATAAGTACTAGTCAAGTTTTATCTACGTAGACTCGTCAGACATTTAGCCAACCCTCTAGTTGTGAATCTACACATGTTATACAATTCTATTTACTAACCCTTGAGCACAATCCACTAATATAATGAGCCAACGTAATCGTATGAAAGCACTCTAAAAGGAAAAATACGTTACCCACAGGAGGTCATAAAGGTCATTAACAAAGGTTACATCCACCTTTGTTTATTGGAAAATATTTGTCACCTTTGCAAAAAAGACTTCATCAATTTACCATAATTAAGACTTGTATTATCAATTTAATCTTAAAGTTGAAATTAAGTAAACACCACGAAACTATATCTTCCCTGCATCATTCGGACCTGATGCTCATTAGTCGTTTGATACCGGTTAGTAATGCACGCTACTTTTACGTACAACTTAATTGCTAGGTCTAATTGCTTGAACTTTCTTGCCAAAGGCAGTATTAAATTTGATTTTTGCAGCAAAAGATTTTAACATTCAACCTGTATTACGCCACGATACATACACACAAGAAAAACAACAATAAGAACAAGCATACACCAACAGTACCGCATATCTTGTCAAGGAGAGAAGCCAATATTTACACGGTTTTTCTCTTGCAATACCCTAGGTTCACACTTTTACAATCCCATTTGCTGATGACCTACTTAAGGGCCAGTCACTACAACATTTGGGAGCAAGGGAACAGGGGGTTTTGCATTTTATATTTCACTAAGCTGCTTCTGCAAATCCAACTCTAAGTTTTCCAGAATCAAAGACGGTGTGATATCGACCCATGAAAACATCCCCCAAGATCCTGCACCACCAAAGCCATAAGCAAACAACATTATCAAAAGGGAGCTGGTAATAACAGAATCCACGCATTTGTGCGTTAAGACGAAAAGAAAACATACCAGAGAGGTCCACGGGGTGGAGGAACATCCAAGGCAATGAAGCCACTAATACATTGTGCAGCAGGACCCTCGCCCACCTTGAGTATGTACTGGTGACAAGAAAAGCATGCAAGCTTAGTACAATCATATGAACTTATCAAGCAAAGAAACTGATATCAAAGCTCGACACACTTCAATAACATTAATTATCCGATCACAAGTTAACTTATCAAGCAAAGAAACTGATATTAAAGCTCGACACGCTTCAATATCATTAATTATCCAAACGACACTTAGCTGTCATGGTTGAAATTTTCTAAAAGACAAGTGTACTTCTCTTGAAAGCAGAGTAACACCTTGCTAGCTAATCTAGTGAAAACCACAAAGAAATGAACTGCCTAACTGAAACATGACAAAAGGATTCTACAACCAATCACTTTGTTCAGAAAAATCAAAGCCATTTACAAAATGAGAAGACGCCATGTACACTACGCAAGATTGATATCAGACATACCTCCTCAGGAGAGAGGTCAAATGTTCTGCCACCAATTGTGAAGGAAACACTAGGCATGCCAGAAAGCTTTCCACAATCAACAGCTGATTGTCCCATTGGGCTTGGTAGTCGCTCGCAAAGCTGTTAAAGATGGTCAGTAATCTAACTTAAGATGAGAAGAGAAAGCATGTGACTGATGCTATTTACCTCATTCACATAGTTCAAGATGCGTTCTTGGGTCTGGTTCTGTCTAAGTTGGTTCTGCATCCAGACAACCGCCATTTCACAAGCGGAGCACATAGCATCATGCAGTCCTGAAGATTTGCCAGCATTCTCATCCACAACACTCTCAATGCCCATACTACACGTGGAGGACATAAATCCACTCAGCACACATTTTATAATAGGATTTACCATATCAAATGATTGGCCAAGGCGAGGAAAGAAAGGGTCTGAAGCCTAACCTAACGCCACGAGTTCCATCAAAGGTGCATAACCCAACCTGTGAGCAGATCTTCTTTGGATGTGCCTGTTAAGACGCCAATGCATCAGAATATTGGGAAGGCAACTAGTAGCATGAAACCATCCTCTTTGCAGATACCACGGAAAACTATTGGTAAAAACAACAAAAAACTATCAACTAAAACAAATAATTGCTCACCTCTGCTAAAAGCATATCCATTATTGTTTGTCCATACTGTTCAACAACAGCTTTACATTGTTGGCTTACAACCCCCGAGGCGCCAATGGCATGATTAATCATAGTGACTACAGTCTGCAAGATAGAGGAGGAAGGATACAGGGAAGAATGATGAGAACTAGAAATGTAGTAGTAAAGCATTTCACTACTACAATTGTCTAGACAAAAGAAGCTGCAGTTTTTCCTTGTATCATATTGTCAACCATGCCATAAAAGAAAACAATTAAGAAGCAGTTCTCAAGATGCACAATTTTTTTCCTAATAAAGAAGAAGAGCACACAAAGAAGACAGAAACAACAGATCAAAAGTAAAAAGAAACATTTCTTAGGTATGAAAATCAACAAGGAAGTATGTCCAGATACTGGAATGAATATCAATATCACTGCACTTGCCATCCTCCTTTTTTTTTGAATAGAAACGGAAAAAATGAGAATACTTCAAATGAATGGCTGATTATTATTCAACTCATATTCCAGCGAAAAAATTAAACCTACACATGAACAGGACGGTACAAAAAAAATTATGAGACAGTTCATTATTGATAATAGCTGAATAAGAGGAACAAAAAATGGAACATGTTTTTGAGAATACCGTTGGACCAGCCAAGAGAGAAGTCCCAGAATCCGCTATTGCAGAACATCCATTGTCACAGTAACCTACAGTATTCAGTATGTCAATACAACGAAAAAGCATGGAAATCATGTGAAAGTGCTCTCATCTTATCCTCGAAATCTCCACACAAAAAAATAGAAAAGGAAGTAACATAACATACCAGTAGCTTGACCATCAATCAGAACATCACCCATGTCAAACTGCAAATTATATTCTGAGAGTAAGAAAACGGTTGCAAAAGCCAAACATCAATCTCCCAAAGATATAGGGATATCTACCTGCCAATAACCTTTCCGTGTGACTGGGACATAAGTGTGCTTTCCCTTATAGTGGTTAGGATCAACCCCACCAAACACAATTTCGCCCCCTTCATCTTCCTCTGTATTTCGGTTGAGCCAAAATGAGAAGACAGGCTCCTTGACAAGACCCTGTTTGACCATGTTGTACCTATAAAACACAGAAGAAACTGTCAAGACCAGTATCACTTAAACCTTTATACAGAAGGAGATGTTAATGAAATTCTGTCCAGAAGATAAAATCATTTCAATGTAATAATGAAATTCACAAGGCACGCACTTGGATAATAGGAAATTGAAGAAACATTTGGAAAGAAGAGAACACAAACAAAATAAACCCACATACCATACTGGTACAGCATTTCCAACAGAAATCTCCTGGAAACCAAGACCCAATATACCATCAAACTTGGCTACCAAAAAAGTTACACTGGGTTCTCTGGTTGCCTCGATGAACTCCTGATGTCATTAACAAGATGAGAGACTATATGCTCGAGAAACATTTTAAAACACACACACACACACACACACAAAGTGGGAAGCCACATTCACCTGATTTTTCACAACCAGATCACCAACTTTAACGCTATCTTGACTGAAAAATCCAGATATTGCTCCAGTACCATAACGTATGGCAGCAGACTTCCCTGTATGGCATATTAAACAGGAAAAAAGTTTGAATGAACAGGTTCTTATGTCAACAACCAAGTGAACACGTTGACCAACTTAGAAAGTAGATGACGACAACAACAACAAAAAAAACCTAGTCCCATAAGTGGGGTCCGGGGAGGGTAGATAGTACGCATATCTTACCTCTACCGAGAATGTAGAAACTTAGAAAGCAGACAGAGAAGAATAATCAAAAATCATGTCATGTCAATCACACAGCAGACTCCAATTTTCCCGGAAAGTAAATTATGATGGATACCAAAACTCAATAAAGGAACTCCACCATAACAGGTTCCTCGATAGACAAAACGGTTCAAAAGGCACAAGCTTTTATTGCCAATAATTGAAAGAAAAAAATCAGAGATATAACATTAGCACATCTTTTGGGAGGGAAAGCCAACAACATAATCTCGCATGTTATATTTTTCAACAGAAATCTTTGGTGCAAGGCACATAATTGGATGACAACAATAAGAATGGTAAGGGTCTTCTTTATTTTCTTTTTTTTTTTTAAATCTCCTAAGTTGGGAGCAGGGTTAACAGTTTTGATCTCAAAACGCAATAATTGAACACTTTCTCTTACAAGCAAGCATTGAGCGTAATAACAAGTTTAAGAGAAAAGCATGTTTTCATGCAGCAATTTCAGCTATAGACAAAGGTCAAGACACAAACCATTTTTCTTATAAGTGCTTGATTGGCTTGACTTGTACTTAGAATGGAAAAGGCATGGAACCTGCATAAATACAGAGACGCATAAATATGGATGCTCGTCAATTATGCATACGCCAACATTAGCTTTCTCTGTTATGTTTTATGACAGTAAAAATGTAATAGAAAGCTTACTGAGAAGTAGCACTTTGATGAAGGCACCCACAAATTAGAGCTACCAGTATCAAAGATGACAGTGAACTTCTGAGGGGGACTGCCTATACCAATCTCCCCAAAGTACTGAGCATCCATATAATTCTTCAGTGCTACAATGTCTGTATCCTCAGAGGCCCCAAGATTACCACGGAGATTATTATACTTCCTAAAAGAGGCCCTCAAAGCCTCCCCCTCCTTGGACTCGACGCGTGCAGCAAGTCGGTTGTTTTGATCG